ACGGAACACAGCTTCAGTACGGGCCGTTGGAATCGACACGGCACGTTCAAGATCTCCCACCTCCCGCGTCATAATTCCTACCTAACCCAGTTAAGACATCATTTTGGCCGCGCCATAGCTCAAGCGGTTAGTCGCTGGCTTCCCACAGCGGCGGCCCGGGTTCGATCACGGGTCTGGTCAAGAGGGATTTCTGGTGGACAAAGTGGTGCTGGGGCAGGTTTTCTCCGAGTACTTCGGTTTCCTCTGCCAATCTTCATTCCACCAAATGCTCCATAATCACCCTCACCTATCATCTGGGACTGGTACAATAGGCCAGAAGTGGCCGCAGTACAAGGGACTTAGTCCCACCCCACTAGCAATAAAAAAGAAAGATAAGTCATCATTCAAGATCTTCCCCCACTCTCTGCAACGTTGCGTCATGCCAACGCCTACGGACAGTAGCTATTCCTACGTTAGTTAGTTATTTGGAGAGGGTGGGCTTCCCCATGCACTTAGACCTGTATGGGTCCATTGTGCTTCCCTCTATGATTTCTACCAGTCTCTATATCCTACCGGTACTGGTGCTTACCATCAGTCCCGCCCAGCCAGCGAGACCGGCTCTACTAGCTGAGAGGCATCTATAATGCTTCCCCCATCTACCAGAGGTATTAGAGACTGCTGTTGGGCGGGAAACGTCCGTTAATTTGGCTCAGTGACCTCCTTTGGAGATATGAGGTTCTTTCACGTGCCGTAAAGCTACGACACGGGACCCACGGCTTAAAGTCCCTCCCGGAGGACTTGTTCCCTGAATTTTTCCGCCCTTAAAATTTCGACGACCTCCGCCGGGTATCTGAACCCGCGTACTTCGAGTCATGAGGTGGGAACGTTACCTCTAGACTACGGACAGTAGCTATTCCTGCGTTTGTCTTTCAGAACGCGAGTGGACAGACGCGGCGGTAACGGAGACGTAATGTAGCTCCATACAATCGCGAGATATTGTTCGCCACACACACACAATATTCATATCGCGAGTGTGACATGCAGACACGCTGTCCGCTGCTGCAAACCTTGCCGTTTTAAATTGCGTTCTGATAAGAACATTCGGTTCCAGAACTATCATGTATTCGCTACACATACAAAATACCGTCACAATCAATCAAATGACAACGTACAACTTTCGTAACACACAAGATTAAAGCAGGCCTGGAGTGACTAGTAGGATTACTGGTCTCTATGTGACACTGTACAGTCTGGTAGACCAGCCAGCGTTTCGTAGGAACATGTGCAGGTAAAAAAAAGTAAAGTTGTCCCTGTGCTTAAGTAATTAAGCACTACGCCATGAAGGCGTATGGGGGAGTAGATGTATTGATCTTCATTTTCTTGAACTCTGCACCAGTTGGAGGTCAGTGTTCACCTTCACGCGCCGGCCGCTATACCTCTGGGAAAAGAGCTCCCGGTACCCATTGGATAGGAGGCTGGGTGGGCCCCAGAGCCGGTCTGGACGACGTGGAGAAGAGAAAATTCTTGACCCTAAGGGGACGTGAACTCCGACCCTTCAGTCGTCCATCCGCAGTCAATCGCTATACCGACTGCGCTACCCCGGCTCCTTCCAAGAGTAGAAACTTTTTATTTTTCGATTTCCGTTAACTAGGAACGTATTTCAGTGCTTCGCACGACAGGGAAATTCAATAAGCTCTGCCACAATTCCGTGACTAAATGGTTACCATTTCGTGATACAGCATAGGGTACAGTAGCAACAGCGTTCTACGTCACACCACTTCCTTCTGGTCAAGCACTTCCTTGTTTGTTCATGATCTCGCATGTAAACGGCAAAAGGTAAAGCTATCCCTGTAACAGGCAGTGGAGGCACATGGGTTTGTGAGACGTCGAGGCTCCCACATTTTCTAGACAATCGACTCACAGATGGCGGCGAGGTTGTAAGCCTTACGCGCCGGCCGGCCTTTACTCCAGGAAGATTCCTGGTACCCATTTCTGTTATAGGCCGAGTCGACCCCAAGGCCATAGTGCGGCTGGAAGGATTAGGTCAATTGAGAAAAAATCCAATGACCTCATCGGGAATAGAATCCGCAATCTTCCGGCTTGTAGCACAGTGCCTCAACCAACTACGCTACCGCCTGCCGCACGTACCTCCTTATAATTACCGACAATCGATACAAAAACCAAGAAAAATAAACCGGGATTGCTCGGGTTTTGGACCCTGTCCACTACCCGGCATTCTAAAGAACACGTCAGGAAACTGGGTCTGTTTCCGTCCTCAGGTGAGGGGGTGTGAGGCGCTACTCTGTTGACTACGTTAGAAAAAGCTAACCTCAGTCACTGGCGAGGAAGATGCTGTACAAAACCGCTCCACAGTCCGACATGTAGACTACAGCACATTGACGGAGGTATGTAAAGCCCTGAGTGTTCAACCTAACGGAAGAAAAGTCTCTCTGAGTTCAATGGGATCTCCGGCACGGCGATTCTGGTTCCGGCGGCCCGGGTTCGAGCCCAAGTCAGGTCATGTGGGATGTGCAGTGGCCAAAGTGGCACTGGGGGAAGGTTTTCTTAGAGTTTTCCGGTTACCTTTGCCAATTCTCATTCCACCGACTGCTCCACAGTCATCATCATCATCCGGGGCTGGTACAAGAGGCCAATAGTGGCCGACGTACCAAGTGGACTCAGTCTCACCCTACCCTAACAAACATAAAAAAGGCGTCAGCAGTTAACAAAGGTGCGCGACGATACGGTAACGACTTAACTAAGCTGTTTATTCTGTGGTTTTCCACGGCAGCGGTCCGAGTTCTATCCCAGTACTTCGGTTTCACGTGCCAACTCTATTCTAGCGACTGCTTCAAACCCATCAACCGGGACCGGTACAGGGGGCCCACCGGTTGCCGGCGTACCAAGCAAACTCAGTAAGGAGTTATGTGCGCCCATGTTATAACATCGAGGATTACGTTTCCGGTTAAATTCCGTACTGGAGGGAGTACTGCTGTAAATGTGAAGGCAGTATAATTCCAGTCGCTATGTATATGCATCTGGAGTTACTTGAGGCCTCCACCGTAGCTCCGCGAGTGGTAGAAGGCGACGAAAAGGGAACCCAGTGCCTGGGAGTAGACCTGGGCCACCATATTACTGGGGGCATATAAATATGGGGACCTGGCCCTACAGGTTGGGGGGAGTCTCGAATCTAAGTCAGTAAAATATGGCCATGAGTCCCGCGGGACTGCGCTGGCGAGGACCAGCGGCAATTGTAAACGACGGACACGTCCTCCCGTCAAAGAAAGCGACTGAAACTGCCTGACAAATAAAAATCTGCCCGTAAGCCCCAGATGGGTGCTTTATTCGAAGACAGACTAGCCGACTGACCGTCGGTCGTAACATAAGACACGACTCGATTTGAGCTCTAGTCAATTTTAAGGAAGTCTGTGAAGAGAAGACTTAGTCGCTGAAGTGAGCACGGAAGATGAAGAATCTTCACTGTTAGGAGCCGTTACCAGGGAACGACTGGTGAAGACACAGTAGACTGAAAAGGCTTAGTGTGTGCTCTAGTGATTTGTTAAATGTGGAGATAGGCGAAGGCTCTGAGTCGTGTGTGAAAATGGTTAATAAATACAATCTCCAATCCAAGCCCCGTGTACAGTCTCACACACACTGCCGCGACAAAATGTTTTATCAACTGCAAGGTCACAAAAGGTCAAATGAGACGTGAGAATAAGGACGTTTAGAGGTCAGTGTGCAAATATCCGCCTGAAGAAATAAAATAAAAACAAACAGCTTAAAAGATGACGTTTATAGGCTTAGTCATGCCATGAAGACGTATGGGGGAGTAGAAGTATAGCTCCATCATTCCTGTCCCTTTACCCAATGGATAGAGGCTGGGTGGGCCCCAGAACCGGTGTAGACGCTATAAAGCCGATAAAAATCTTTCCTTACTGTGAATCGAACTCGGGTCGTCTAGCCTGTAGCCCGTCGCTACCAGATGGCACATGTATAGTCGAAGGTTCGAACAGGTTACCTTCCGAATACAGAGCACATCCGCTCGGAAATTATGGAGCAGATAGAAGCTCGGATGAATTCCAAGTAGTCTGAGGAGATGAATCTCCAACTGAAAGTCAAGTTTTGCAAAGTGACAGCCAATCCTATCTGCACTGCTCAGGAAGTCAAGGAGGCCTCCCACTAACAAGAACATGAGGGAAGAACTTTTCTTTACCTGTTACTTTCCTTGTGTCTACACAGAGGTGCCTATATGAATTACAAATTAATCTCTATATACAATAAAATGATAAGATGCTTCATAAAATTGTGGTAACACAGTGTAGGGTACAGCAGGTGGTAGTAATTATGCCGATACTACTGGCACGTGTTAGCGACTAGACGCGAACATTTTTAATACTGTTCATTGGCTATTCATAAATAATGCAATCCTGACCATTAGAACGTAGAATTACAGTATACAAGTCTGTCCGTCTGTCCATCTATCTATCTATCTATCTATCTATCTATCTATCTATCTATCTAAGTCCTTTGTTGGACTTCGGTCGATTTTTGCGTTTCCTGATCATTTACACAGTCGGGAGGACTCTTTGGACGGGGGATCAGCCCGTCGCAAGGCCGATATCTGCACATAGAACAACACAAACACAGAATAAACGCACATAAACATCTATGACTCAAGTGGGATTCGAACCCACGATCCCAGTGTTCGAGCGAATGAAGACAGTTCATACTTTAGACCGCGCGGCCACTGTGATCGGCACAGTACAGAAGTACCGAGTGAATCCTCTGGTTATTTAAATACAGAATTCCATTGTACACCTGTAATTTAAATTCATAATTCTCACTCAAACTGTAGAAGCGGGGTGACGAGTGATAGAGTCGTACACTACTCGTATAGACACTGACACACACACCTAAGGATTGGAAGAGTGTACACAGGGCCACACTCTCAACACTAAACACAGAAGTGGACAGCTCTTACCATTCAACAGTGAAGACGAAACCAATAATAAAATCCTCACCTCCAACCTGAAACAAAGGAAAGTTTAATTATAAACAACTGAAGGAAAGCACCAGAAAGAAGAAAACTGTCTTATAGGACATGAGGACGTACAGGTTTGTAGATATTCAACATGGTTTCAGGACAGAAATGTTAAACCTGAAGTTGGAGTCAGGAGGTTCCTCCAAAACGTTTATACCTATCTATAAGATCACATAGCCCAAAAAGCAGGAAGCTCCATAACCACGCTATGACAATCTCCCATTCCACATTCACTAAGATTGGGTTAAAGCCCCGTAAAAGTGACTTTTCCCCTTTGGCGCTACAGCCCCAATTTGGGCCTTGGTCTACCTCCATGAAACTCTCCGTTTCACTTCGGTTTACTTCGGTAGGATTCCTTGGGCGGGTGATCAGCTCGTCGCAAGAGCTCTACCTGTACACAAACACAGAAAAACACAAATACTAAGGCTGGGGGCCACACGAGCGCACAAAATGCGTACGTTGTAACGAACGTCGTGATGTCCGTTGTAGAAATAAACAAGAGAGGGGAATGCTACGCCTTCTTCTGGTTCCATTGCAGAGAAAAAACTACGCACCGCATTCTGCAACTGTGTGGTGTCCTCAACAACGTCCGTCATAAAGTACGTTCGTTACAATGGACGCATTTTGTGCGTTCGTGTGGCCCCACCCTAAACATCCACGCCCTTTGTGGGATTCGAACATACGATCCCGGCTTCAGAGCGAGCGAAGACAGTGTATGCCTTAGATCGCTCGGCTATCGTGACGGACTGTAGAACTGATATCCTTCTATCTACGTCTAGGTCTTCCTAGTTGTCTCATTCCTTCTGGTTTTTCCACCAAAACCCTGTATGCTTTCCTCTTCTTTCCAATATGTGACATATTCCCTTGCCACGTCATGCTCCTTTACTTGTTCATTCTACACACAGTTTAATAACCACAAAGAACAAGGAAATCCGTTAACTACATCCATTCGCGCAAACGGCGGTTCCAGTAACCGAAATCTTACCCCTCCCCCAAACCGGATAAACGTGAGTAAAGCTTCCTGTCCAGTTCCATTCGGTGCAGCACTCTGACAGTCAGCAAGCACAGCTCCACGGCGCGTTAATGCGCTGCTGCATCTAATTAACACAGGCATATAACTGAAATGAATGGACACTATGCACTTAACATTCGACATGCAGTGTTGCTGGCTGGTCAATATTCATAACTAGACCCGGCAAGCTGCTTCAAACTCGGCACTACTGATGTGCATACAGGGCCTGCCGCTACATCTGCTATCCTAACAGAGGCACTTAGACGTTTTACTCAGTCCCTCCAGACAAATGATGGGATAGTACTACGATTAGGCCACGGCAGTTTGTTTCCATTTACTCTTCAATCCACTTTTCAGCAGAAAAAACTTACCATGGCTGTCCCATAGCTCAGGCGGTTAGTCGCCGGCCTCCCACCGCGGCTGCCCGGGTTCGAGGTCAGGTCACGTGGGATTTGTGGAGGACAAAGTGACATTGGAGCAGGTTTTCTCCGGGCACTTCGGTTTCCCCTGCCTATTCGAATTCCACCTACTGCTCCACACTCATCATCTATCATCGGAGGCTTGTACATTAGACCAAACAGTGTCCGCACTACAAAGTGGACTCAGTCTCATCCCAAGAGGATAATAATAATAATAAAAAATACTACCATTAAACGTCATATAGCCTTAGGCACTGACAGCCCGCTTGCACACTGACATGAGTTCGAATCTGAGTCTCTACTCCGTTTCTGTTGTGTCTAAGTTGTATGCTTCCGAGGGGCTGATCCCCCGCCCAGGAGTTCACAGTTTCAGATTAAACAAGAGGGCCCAACCCACCACCGGATGAAGATGGGCACAAGCAGGGCTACATCGGAACTCTCGTTAGGTACAAGCAAAGTTGTCCCAGTAAAGTAAAAGTAAAGCTATCCCTGTACCAGGCCATGAAGGCCCATACGGTTGTGAGACGCTGAGGATCCCACATTATCTAGACAATCGGCTCATAGATGGCGGTAAGGTTGTCAGCCTTACGCGCCGGCCGCTCTTTACTCCCCACGAAAATTATTTAATTAATTCCTGGTACTCATTTCTGTTAGAGGCTGAGTAAACCCCAGGGCCTAGTGCGACTGGAAGGATTAGGTCAACTGAAAAATTCCAATTTTGAACCCGCGACCTTCCGGCTTGTAGCGTAGAACCTCAACCATTACGCTACGCGTGTCCCCAAAGTTGTCACAGTGCTTAACTAATTAAGAACTACGCCATTAAGACGTATGTGGGAGTGGCTGTATAAATCCACGTTTTCTTGACCTCGACACTAATTTGATTCACGCCCCGGCCGCTTTACTCCCGGTACCGATTGGATAGGAGGCTGGGAGGACCCTAGAGCCGGTCTGGAAGACGTGGAGAAGAGAAAATTTGTGACTCTACCGGTACTCCAACCCGTTCGCTCTACCTACTGAGCTATGACGGATATTTTGCAAGGATGCATACTCAAGGTATGGCGTGCCATGAAAAGCATTTTGGACATACTTCATGCCAGGAAATCCGCCCCTCCCACATGTTCATTACAGAACATTCCCATAGTTGAGCAACCAGTGTGCATCGGAACAAAGAGTTATGAATGCAATAAGAATTTCATGCACTTCACATAAATCATGCATATATACATTTCTCTCCAGTAAAGTTACATCTCAAGAGACCATTATGAGAACTTTGTTGCTAGGCAACAACGACAAATCAAAACAATTAAGCAACTGCCAAGTACGCAGAACGATATTATGTCGACTTTCAACTCACGCTTCAAGGAAATAGCGGCTCCGGTATAGAAAACCGAGATTAACGACCGTGGGGATCCGTTGCGCTGATCACGCGGCACCTTCTATCCGCAAAAGTTGGCACTAACTTTGCCGACAAGCGGCGGCAGGTCGGTCGGTATAGTTCGCTTGCGGACTGACATCATGGGAGTTTTTTTTTTCAACTCTCGCAATCACGGCGCTCAGCAATACAATTTCACTTTTTAAATCAAAACCAAGTTTATGTTGCAACGCCTACGAAAAAGTTTTCTCAATATGAACTACCATCTGGAACAATACTGCAATACATTTCGAGGCCCGAAGTCCATTTCCAGTTTTGGATGAACATGAGATAATTCATGTTCCCAATTTCCCGCACTGCGTTCCATCATCTCCACGAACTTCCAAGGTTCTTACATTTATGAGAGTCACCCACACTGAATCAATCTCTAGCCAATCAGCGCCGATTATCGACAACGTACCGACACACTAGTCGTCAATCATACTCCAGGAACCATCCACTGCTAAGCAACGGCTCGGTATGTTTCCGTAGAGATACGATTATTCGAAACAAATCATCGCTGGGTGTTAAACGTTTCATTGGTTACGTGACTGAATTATGTTTTCTGTGTCGGTTCTACTCGCCGTCAGCATCATGACTCAGACCGGTGTGCGGCCTACCTAAAAGAGACCTACCAGCTACAAGTTGGTGTGGAGGATAATATTAAACTTTGTGGTCTAGTGGTCAGAGTTCCTGCCTAAATATCCAAAAGCCCCGGGTTCGATTCCCGGCGCTACCAGATTTTCCGAGTAGTGGGTCTGGAACGGTGTTCACTCAGCCTCGTGATAACTGAGGACCTATTTCAAGGAAATTGCGGCTCCGGTCTAGAGAATCGAGATTAACGGCCGTGGGGATTCGTTGCGCTGACCACGCGACACCCTCTATCCGCTGAAGTTGGCACTAAGTTCGCCGACAACCGGCGGTCGCTCGATCGGTATAGTTCACTTGCGGACCATAGGCCACGGAGTTTAGTATTTTATTAGAGAAAAGGGTTGGGGTGGTATGGACTGGATTCATCTGGCCTAGGACAGGGACCAGTGGAAGGCTCTTGTGAACTTGGTAATGAAACGTCGGAGCTCAATACAATGTTGGGCACTTCTTCAGTAACCGAGCAACTGGTGGTTTCTCAAGAATGACTCAATTTTCCGGAGTTAGAGACTGGATAGAACTACCCAGAGTCAATAAAATTCTGTTGTCCATAAACCTTTATGATTCATAAAGCCTGATTAAATTTGAGCGGGGCGCTGTTATGAACTCTATTCATAAAACAAAAGCAGAGTAAGCCGTGTCTGTTTTGTAGGTTCGTATCCCGTAAGCGTTGTCACTAGTCACAAGTAAATAAGCCGTATCAACATAAACCTGTGATTAAAAGAGAATCTTATGTTATTTCCCATTCGCTAAATTTTTGGGGCTCATCCAGCCCCAGATGAAATGTGAGGGTGACTGTGGAGCAATTGGTGGAATGAAGATTGGCAGGGGAAACCGAAGTACTCAGCGAAAACCTGCCCCAGCGTCACTCTGTCCACCACAAATCCCACTTGATCAGACCCGGGATCGAACTTGGGCCGCAGCGGTGGGAAGCCAGCGACTAACCGCTTGAGCTATGGTGCGGCCAATACCTATAGCTTGTAAGTTATGACTGTACTTAATTAAGCATCACATTACAGAGGAGTGGAGGTATAGCTCCACGCGTTCTTAATCTCGATACTATAAGATGACAAGTCAGTTTCACACTCTAGCTTCCCATTGGATAGGATGGGTGAATTGAAAGACCGGGGTCTGAACGCGTTCGTACCTGGATTTGTCGAGCGTCCAGAACGTAGAACAGTCACTACACTACCTGAGCTACTCCGGCTGCAGACCACAGAGACCGCGTAATTTAAATACGTGCAGAAACGAGGTAAGGTAAGACAGTGACATACAGCGCCGCTGTAAAAGGGAGGTTGCCGTAACACACCGCTTCTTGGAATTGCTTTAACGAAACAGAGGAACGCTAGAGCTTAGCTATTACGGGTACAGACTGGCTCCTGAGTAGATGGGACTTAGACGCGAAACTCTATAATGCAGGCTCTTGCTAAAATATTCAATACACCTAACGCAGATGTGTTCCCCTTAAGGTGGAGTTGGGATTCCCACGCCAGTAAC